GGGAGATAAAGGTTAGATGTTAGGAAGGCATTCTTTACTCTGAGGGTGGTGAAGCCCTGGCAATGCCCAGAGAGCTGTGGGTGCCCCATCCCTGGAGATGCCAAGGCCATGGATGGACCCTGTGCAGTTTGAGCTGGTGGGGGTACCCAGCCCACAGCAGGGGAGTTGGAACTGGATGACCTTTAAGATCCTTTCCCATGTAACCCATTCTATGATAACACAGTCCCTGTGTGATGGGGGATTGCACTTCATGGCTTCTGACCAGCTGGATTGGTGTCTTTAATATTCACCAGCACACAGTACATAGGATTCCAGCTACATCCAGATTCCTTGCCTGCGGGTTTGTCCTCACCTTGTAAACATCATAAGACTCAATCCTGCTGTCAAAGCAGATGTAGAGATTGTTGAGCATCTCGACAACCTGCAGGGGGGTACAGGAGGCAGCAATGCTCGTGAAGCCCACGATGTCTGAGAAAAAGATGGTCACCTGTCACAGGGAGAAGGCAGGTGTGAAGCTGAGGCCTGCAGGCAGCAGTGGCTGCTGCTCTGACTCTGAAATGTTCTCTATTATTTTGCTGCAATTTATTTCCTATATGTGGTTCTGTGAGTTCCTTGCATTAGATGGGAGACTGAAAGTCTGAAGGTCAAGCGCTTTGTAAGCAGGGATCAACAAACTTCTTGTAGATGGGAGTCCTTTTAATAGTGCTTATTATTACCCACTCATCCAGAAGAGCCACCTTTTCACTCTCTGCACTGGCTTTCCTACTTTTGATGTTGTGACTATTGTGGGTTATCACAAACGGTGCAATTACAGGTAGTTTTGTCAGTGATAACTCCAAATTAAACGCAAACTTTCATTATTGTATTTCACAGCTGAAAGTAACGGAGTGTCCAGGTGAAAAAGGCTGAAGGGAATGAACAACTACTTTATAATTGGGGTTTTGGCTGTGGGCTGTGCAGCTCAGCTGCTAAGTTGAGCACTGGCAGCAGCACGCTGTGAGGCAGAGCTTCAAACACACGGATGCTTTGGCCAAAATCTGCCCTTGTTTTTATGCCTGTTTGAGGCTGTGACATCTTTGGTCCTTCTCATCCCTCTCTAAATCCCATGCTGTCCTTCCAGTTATGCCTATGAAACCATACTGACACGTACAGGCAGGATTTGTCCCGTGTTGCTTTTTGGTGGTTGTGATTGGGGTTTCTTTTGTGATTTGCTCCATTTTACAAGGAGGAAACTCAGTTCTTCCCACTGCATACCTGTGAAGGAATGATGTGGGCAGGCTCTCAGGAGTAGGCTCTTAAACCCAAGTAAGACAATGTGCCTTGCCTTTGATATCTTTACCATCTAAAGCTATACTTCTGGAAATTTCAGCTCTTCTTCCAGCCCCATCAACCTGAGTGCTTCATGGGACATCATTGTACAGCTTTTTCCAAACCCCATAATGAATATTAAGACTTATATTCACACTCATCTAGGAGTGCTAAAATAGATTCCTCAAAGCAGAGGAATGTGGGTGCTCTCTTTCTGAATGTTTTCCCACCCCTGGTGTCAGCAGCTTTTTCCATTTGCTAGCACAGACTAGATTTACCTGATCATAATTTTCTGCCTCAACTTTTTGGCATTTCCTTAGCTGCTTGGCCACAGATTTGGGTAACATCTGGTGCAGGAGGTCCTCAGCCAGCTGCCTCTCCCGTTTCAAGTCCTGTGTCTTTTCCTTGAGGCTCCTGGCATAGTTGTGAATCCAATCTGTCATTTGCTTGAAGAATATCAGGGTTATGGGGTAAATGAGGCAGGCTATCACTAGCAGGCTGATCTTCAGGCTCGTTGTGAACAGGATTTCTTTAGATTTCTTGATGAGCTTTTCCTGTCCCCTCTGCAGGAGGCAGCTCTGCATGTTTAGGAGTCCCTTTAGCAAGGCTTCAATGGAGGCAAACTCATCCGAGCCCAGGAACGGGATGAAAAAATGGATCCCTTCAGAGGAGGTGAAATGAAGCGATTGGTTGACGTTATCCCTCCAGCACTTCTGCGCGCTCTCTGATGAGAAGACAGCATAGTTGAGAGTGGCTGCAAGCTGATGCAGTGTTGTTTGAAGGCTGACGGATACTGGCATTAACTGAGCTTTCAGCACAGCTTCTCCTATTAGAAGGATGAGTTTAAAAGCCACTATGTCTGCCCAGTCAGGATTACGTCGCATAGCTTTGAGGTCTTCATGGGGACTGCTAAAAAGCCCCAGCAGGTCAGAAATCACTCCAGATAGCATCTCGCTGGCTTCACTATCCCCTGTGCTATTCATTCTCTGTCTCATGTCAATGATGTAAAGCCTACAGGTAGAGATTTTCTCCTTCTTGCATTGACAATCCTCACAAGACAGTTCTGCTTCTCTTGCTTTGCAGAGGGAGTTCAGATTCTCTAATAGCTGAGCATGAAATGATGTATTCCTCTTGTCTGCTGCTGGGAACAGCCAGCTGTGCCTTTCTTCCTGCAGCAGAGAGATGAGGCGAATGGCCCAAAGGGTTTCACAGGAGGCAAGTTCCTGAAGGGCCTTCCCTGTGCTTCTCCATGCTTCCAAGCTGCTGCTCAGATCAAAGGAAACAGCTCCAAGGAGGCTGCAGAGGGAGACCACGCATGCCAGCAGGATCCTTTGAGCTGTTTTTCTACCACCAGCACTGGAAAAGGAAGAATATCTAAAAGAAAGAAATGAAAGAAAGAAGGAAGAGAGGGGTGGGATGTGGCAGGGGAGTCTGATCATGATGGTATTTCTTACAGCTCCCGAAAATATGGCTGGAGCTAACAGTGATACATCCTGAAACGAAGCAAAGGGATTGAGCATTAGCTGTACGTTATTGAAAGAAATATTTGGTCGTATTTTTTTCCTTCTGATGCTTTCTTTTAAAAGAAAATGGTGGAAAAGAGACAGTTCTTGTGATGCTGGGATGGGATCGTGCCATTCTCCTGTGAGTATGAAGAGAGATATGAGTGTTTGCAGTGGGTTTTATTCCCTGTGGAGCTCCTGTTTAAACCTCAAAGCAGCCCATGAAAAAACAGCTCTGTGATTTCAGTGGTTGTGATCCGCAACTGTTAAAAATTTTAATCAAAGCTGTGACCAGAACTTTTGGAATTTGTTCTTAATGGGGAATTTCCAGAAAATGGATGATTTGCGTTGATACGTTCAAATATGCTTAAATATTTCCACTTTGTTGTCCAAATATTTCAAGGGGGAAGTTATTCAAATTTCAGTTCTGTTTCAGTTTTTACAGGAGTACACATCCCCATCTGTTACTTTTTTGTCTGTAATATTTGTTGTCTGTGCCTCACGGTTACCTCTTCTCTTCCGCAACACTCGTAACTGACACCCTGTCTACGCAGCAAAATAACCTCTTAACAATTTTCAATTAACCGTTTACAACCCTGCCTTAATGATGCTCACACAAACAACTCAGGATGTTACAATGAAGCACCCAAACAACCTTCCTCTCCAACTGCTAAAGCACCAACAAGGAACCAGGCTGCTGATCGGAAAGGGAGAGATCTGCAGCGATGCTGCCAGCGCCCACTGCTGCATCTGACCATTCCTGCTGCTGAACCCCGACACCCGCAGGTGTCACGGGGTGCTGTCTGTAAAAGCACTTTGCAGTGCTGCCACACTCACCTGTGCTGACCTGCTGGCACCCGTGCTGCCTTCTCACCGGGCATCTCCACTGCTGGTCCCACTGCGTCTCACTCAGATCCCATCTGCTGCCTGCCCACCTCCTGCTATGCGAGCGCTTTGCTTCCTCACCCCTCTACCCTCAGAGTTGTTCCTGTGGCTCTCCTCTCTTCTGATCCTCGCTCCTCTCACAGCGGGCTCGCACCCCCCAGGGAATATCAAGCTCCAGCCCAAGGTAGGGGAAAGGCTTTAAAAGGTCCTCAGCATTATCGCGAAATACGTGCTCGGCTCTTGACAACACACAAGAAGAAATGACAGAGACACGTGTTTTTCTTTCATGTTGCAAAAAACAGTGTTTATTGCAGTGAAAAGCGTAATTTCCCAGCTATCTGTGATCAAAGGTGTCATGATTATGACTTTATTCAAACTGTTGTTCTTGGCATTGCTCTCATCTGCCATGCAGGTCTCCCTGGGTTAGTTTTTTTCTATAACCTATAAAAAGGTGAAACGAGGCACAGATCAGACCATGAGAGCCAACTGTTTGTGAGCAGTGTGTGTTGTGTTTGGGATGTGGGATTTACAAAACTGAAACAAGGTTTTTGCTCCTCGGCCACTCTTGAAATTAGGGTTTCTGTTATCTTATAAAACAGCTGGTGCTCCAGATCTGAGCATCATGCATTGCCTTCTAGGATGTGACTGTAACAATCAGTGTTATTGATAGGTACCAATCACTTCTGAAGTTGCACCAATCAAACTCCTAATGAGTATAAATCAATCTCTAGACTGAAGGAAAAATGCATTCCTAAACATCAAGACTTACGTAAAAGTGGAAATAACTTAAATACCTAAGTGCAAAGAGGATGCTTTATTTTTGCTTTGGGGTTGATTCTCATGCTGATAAGGGCCTACCTACAGAGATAGCTGCTTCTGTGTAAAAGAACCAGTTGAATCAAAAGTGATGCAGCTCCCTGAGCAGATGGCAGAGCTGTCCATCAGATAACTGTCAAATAATTGTTCAGGTAGTTTTCCTTGAGAAGACACAGCTTTAAGATACATTTTTCCCTTCCTGGTCCTACAGTAGTGACCTCAGAAATTGTCAGGTGTCATTATTCTCTAGTAGCAAGGCCTTGAGCTTTACCTCCTTGATCCAGCTGTCGAAAGCAGAGATCCGGGTGAAGACAGAAGGCTTCCGATAATAGTTGCAGCCAAGAGAAGAGCCAAAGCTGACAATACCATGCACTTCCCACACGCCATCTGCATTTTGGCAGTTCAGTGGGCCACCAGAATCCCCCTGAGAAGGAGAGGAAATGCAGTTAATGGCAGTCATAGTGTGAGTAGTTCTTCCTTGTGTTTTAGGCTTTCCTTTCTATCAGGCCTGGTTGTGTCAAACCAAACCCTAAGGTTGGTGTTCTCTGGACTCACGTTACAACTGGAGGTGATTCCATCTCCACCAGCGCACACCATGTTGGTTTTCACTGAGCTTCCCCACCAGCTAGACTTGGAACAAGTTGCATAATCTACCACCAGCAACAGCCCTTGCTGCAGGTCATCTGGGAGAGCTCCATTTGCTGGGAAGTAACAGAAACAAAGGAGTCATGACACCAGCTGGCAATGAAGGAAGAACAAGCATTGCTAAGTTTCTCCCAGGATCTGGGTACTATTCCTCCAGGTAGGAAACTTCATCTGGGCTGCATAATTCATTCCTTAGCTGCATTCTTTCATTTAAAAAGAAAAAAAAAAAGGCTGTGACTTACCAATAATTTCTATTTCACTTATTAATGTCTCTTTGTTAGAGAAACAAAGGGCTCTTCTTTGTTCAGAATTTGCTTACTGCTCTGGGAACTGCTGCTTGAGCTGACACTTCTGCTGAAGCCCCTGGGATTTCTCTTTACATCTATTCCCTTATGTGTCTTTCCAGTTACTCAACAGCGTGTATCAGGATTAGAAAATTCCCAACCTGCTGTTAATATTCGTGTTAGAACAGCTGCTGAAAACCTACTAAAGGGCCCTCTAGTGCATTACTAGCCCCATTACAAGGAAAATAAGCTTGAAAGGCAGAGAAAATTCGTAAGGTGAGCGAAGTGGGCACCAATGAACTTGGGTTTGAGGGGATCTTGATCATCACCGACAACCTTTTTCCAGTCAATCCCGAGGAAGATGGCAGTGCTGAAGGCCTTTGTTTTGCAGTTTTGCCCATCTCCCACTACTCACTCCGCAGTCTTCCCCATCCCGTCACGTAGCAGGCAGTGTTGGATGACAGGATGCTTTCTGCAGGAGGGAGGCAGGCCAGCCGGATTTTGTCGCTCAATGCAACGTGTTCGGTGAGTTTGATCAAAGCAATGTCATTCCTGTGGTCGTATGAACACTTGTGAGAGGGGTGAGGGGACAAAGAGGATTGCAAATAGTTAAGAGACAGCAGAACGACAAAAAGAAATTATTTAGAAAAAGAGATGCAAGGGAGCAAAAGAGGCCACTGCACAAGCACTAAGGATTCCTCCACCCTTAAAACAGTGGGGAAATCCATGCACTGGAAGACTGTTCCCTGCAGAGCTGCCCCACTTTCCTGCTGGCAGCCCTCTGGAATGTTTCCTTTATAGGTTCTCTTCACCAAAAACAGATGCATGTGTGAGAACCAACTACTGGCACCTGGAAAGTGAAATGGTTTCTTTGCTAATGTGCTCAACCCACCAGCATGCACAGGAGTCCTTCAAAGTCCCTACGAGGGTATTAATACCATTTAATTGATCATACTCCATGTTTATGTCTTTCATGCAAGATGTTCAAAATGGTTTTTAAATTGTTTGATCAATTTATTCCCTCCTGCTTTATGAAGAAAATTATTGCCTAGAACAGCAGTTTCTCATCAAAACATGAACATGCAGAATGGCAGCTGAAAATGCAATTAATCAATTAGCAATTAATACGGGAAGCTCTTTATCTTCTCTTGAGGAGGAAAGGTACAGACTGGAGCAAACATTTTGAAGTTTTTGAAGTTTTGCTTTGCTTCCTGTAGGTGAATAAACACTTTCCACCAACTTACCCACTTGCAACGCTGTATGAATTCCATTTCTCATGGACAACAATTTTTTCTGGGAAGGCTGTGACAGATCCTTGCTCCTCAGCTGCTAGGTTGTATTTTCCAAGAAGCACTCGATAATTCCTGCTAGAACTGGACAAGAAAAGAACTAAAGTTCAGCTGTGTTAGTTACTGAATTATCAAATTGTCAAGAATAACATGCAGCCAACTCTTCCTACTCCACGTGATGACCTCCTCTACCACCTACTGATGCCATAACCAGTGTGTAGTGGATGCACATATTCAAGGACATATGATAACAGACCACAGTTGGGTTGTCTCCATGGAAACAATTTTGATGATGGGGCAGCACATTTGTACCTGATCATTTCTTTCTTATACTTTCCTGTAGTATGAAGAGTGGACAAAACACAGAGCTCTTGACTCCATGGGAAGGAGAGAACTGGCATTAGTATGTTTGGGCTTTTTTCTTCATCTGTCTCCAGTCAAGCATTGCTTTATGAGCACAGACTTTAACTCAATGGTTTACCTGATGCAGTGTGCAGCTGTCAATACCCAGTTGGTTGCAATGAGGATTCCTCCACAGGTGTGATGCCAACCACTACTTGATTGGTATTGAAGAGAGGCCTAGGATCAACAGATACCAAGCAAGGCTCAGGTTTTTGCTTGCTGATTTTTCCAATGTTGCATTTTCTTCCAGCACATGTATCACAACTTGCTACTTGAAGGTAATGGGAGGTCTTTAAGCTAGAAGAGTTTTGAAGAATCTTAGAACCATCAAGACCTCTAAGAGTATCTAGTGTAACTCTTCACCTACCGCCAGTACTGCCCACCAGTGCCACATCTCCACGTTCCTTGAACACCTCCAGGGATGGTGACCCCATCACTTCCCTGGGCAGCCTGTGCTACTGCATCACTGCTCTTTCAGAGAAGCTGTTTTCCCCAATACCCAACCTGAACTTCCACTGGTGCAACTTGAGGCTATTACCTCTCATCCGATTGCTGTCGCCTAGAAGAGGCCAATCCCCACCTCACCACAACCTCCTTTCAGGACTTCCTGTCCTCAGGAGAAGGATTTTCTCCTTTCCTACCATTCAAAAGTTGGATTTTTTTAATGTTTGGGTTTTTTTTTTCCCCAAAGTTCAAGCCTGGTCCAAACAGAACATTTTGTTTTCTTCAAAAATCAATTTGTTAACTCAACGTACAACTGTGTTCCAGTAGGCATTGTACTCTCCACTGAATTTTACAGTATTCCTGCTAAATACGAGCTGGTCTACTGAGAGAACATGAAGACCTCTGTGGCACGCCAGGTATTACAGCTCTAATCATTTCAGGGAAGAACAGAAGGATTCACCTGCCAGGGCCAGCTGTATGGTCTTGCATTTTCTCCTCCAACAACTCGAGACACAGCAGGTGGGTAGGCAGGAACCCCGCAGCCAAGGGCTGGAAAACATACAAAGATTTGTGTTTTAAAAGTAGGAACTGAAAAAGAATTCTGTAAGAGAGGTTGGGTTGGTTGGTTTTTGTTCTTATGGTTTGTTTGTTGATTTAATATAGACTGTGCTTGTATGGAACGTTGAAAGGCAGAGATACAGCCTACAATTGGATGTAATACAGGTGAAGATACAGCCATCAGTCAAGGCTGAGCAATGTTATATAAAGCCTATTTGTTTTCTGGCAGGTAATCAAATCATGTTGGCTCAACCAAATTCTCATGAATCAACTGAGATGCAGCTCGTAGCAGATGCAAAGCAATCTGGCATGGATTGACTGTGTTACAGAGCATTCAAGCTAAGTAAAATAACTTCTAAGTAAAATAACAGGCTGAGAGCAGTGGTGCTCCTTGAACTTCTGTGATATGAACAGAATAACTTAGTACCTAGCTGCCATTCTGAACCTTTTATTTAACAAAAGCAATTAATTAATTGTCTTATTCTGCTTAAAAAAAAAATAATAATAGGAAAGCTGCTATTAGATTTTAATTCATTTTTTCTTTAGAACTGGTATTGAAATTGAGAACATACCTGCAGCTGCCAGAGTCAGCACAGCAAAGAGGATTCCAAGCATGATGCCGGGTAACTGCATGCTGTGGGCTCTGCTTCACAGCTTGTTTTATACCTCACCTCCTGGAGACGTGAGTACGTGAATGTCCTGACACCAATGGAAAACTGTGGGATAATTTTTTATATGCACAAATGCTTAAGGGAAGGGAAAAAAAAAAAAAAACCATAGAGATAGACCTTGAATCTGGACTAAATATAAAACTTTGGCTAAAAGCAATTTCAACTGAGTTGCATGTAATCTATAGCAGTTGTTTGTTTTCCCATTGCCTTGAAAATTCATCAGAATGTGTTTCCTGTATGAAAACATTAATGAGTTATTCTAACACTGAATAGTATGTGAGCAGTAATGCTATCTGATGTGTAATCAGACAGTGATAGACTTCACAGAATCACAGAATGGCCCAGGTTGGAAGGGACCTCAAGGATCATGAATCTCCAACCCCCTGTCACATGCAGGGCCACCAACCTCCACATTTCATACCAGACCAGGCTGCCCATGGCCCCATCCAGCCTGGCCTTGAACCCCTCCAGGGATGGAAGGGGCATCCACAGCCTCTCTGGGCAGCTGTTCCAGCACCTCACCACTCTCACAGCAAAGAACTTCACCCTGATATCCAACCTAAATCTTCCCTCCCTCAACTTAAATCCATTTCCCCTTGTCCTGCAGTTATTTACCCTTTCCAAGAGTTGACTCCCCTCCTGTTTGCAGGCTCCCTTTAGGTACTGAAGGCTGCAATGAGGTCACCCCACAGCCTTCTTTTCTCCAGGCTGAACAAGCCCAGCACCCTCAGCCTGTCTTCATAGGGGAGGTGCTCCTGTCCCCTGATCATCTCTGTGGCTCTCCTCTGGACCCTCTCCAACAGCTCTCTGCCTTTTTTGTACTGGGGGCTCCAGACCTGGATGCAGTAAAGGGGGACAATCACCTCCCTGTCCCTGCTGGCCACCCCTCTGCTGATGGAGCCCAGGATATTGTTTACTTTCCGAGCTGCAATGCACACTGCTGGCTCATGTTCAGTTTTTCATCCATCAGGACCCCCAGGTCCTTCTCTGCAGGGCTGCTCTCAAGGAGCTCCTTCTAGTCTGTATGGATGCCTGGGATTCCTCTGGCCCAAGTGCCAAACCTTGCACTTTGCTCTGTTGAATCTCATTATGTTCACCCGGACCCACCTTTCAAGTCTATTGAGGTCCCTCTGAATGGCATCCTTTCCTTTCACCATTTTCCTTTTCCTTTCGTTTTCCTTTTCCTTTCACCGTGTCAACCACACCACTCAGCTTGGTGTCATCAGCAAATTGCTGAGGGCGCACTCGATTCCGTTGTCAACGTCATTGATGAAGATGTTAAAGAGATTTGAATCCCATCAGTGGGATTGGAATCATTTCCAGACACCTCTTCAGACTTCAGTTGTTGTGTGATGATATGATTGCTTGAAATTTTGTTTGTCTGCTTTATTTTTTTGACAGAATAGCAATGTATCTTCTTTCCTAGACCAAGTTGCGTTGTGTTTCAGCATGCCATCCTTCCTCAGTAAAACCAACTGCAATTGCTTGGGAGCAGATGTTACAAGGAGTACAGAGAACAAACTGTCTGTGATGATGGAGGATGATGCAGCATGGTGAGCCAGGCTTTATTTCTTTTCTATTCCCTTCAGTTCTTAGATCAGTGGCACTTCCCTGGAAGCAAATGAGGTTTCTGTAGTACAGCAAATGGGCATTTTCATGGTGGAAGGCAGAAATATATAATCCTTTGCTGTTTCTTTTTCCCTCTCAAGAATACGTTGTCCCACCAAAACAATGCTTTACGTGGTTGGACTGGATGATCTTGGAGGTCTTTTCCAACTTGGTAATTCTATTATATGAACAACAGTGCTTGAGCAAGTTGCATTCTGAACTTCAATTTGAATCAACCAAACTGTTCTAGCATTTTGTGTTTATTACGTGACAAAAACAAAAATCTGGATTAACCAACCATAGAATTGAGATTATAAAAAAACTGAAAAATCAGCAATTAATTCTCTCAACATCTAAATTTATATAATGAAACAACGTACTGTGCTTTCAGCTTCCATGCAGCTTTCTGTATACTGTTCTGTCACTCTCTCCTCATTAAATAACAATGAAAATTAAGTATAAATTCTGGATGTCAATTACTATTTCAGTTTTCCTTCTTTGTGGGTATGGCATAAATATGGACTTGCTTGGGCTATTTTTTTTTCCCCGAGCATTTTTACAATCATTTCACAAGCAATCTTCTGCTACATTAGGGGAAACCCTTTTCTCTCTTATTTTTTCTTTTCCTCTTTGTAAAGGAATTCTGTTATTTCATTGCCTGGGGAGGAGTTTAATAAGAATCCCATTTTTAATGGAGAACCCCCTCAAAACTTTTGTGTGTTGCTCCATTTCTGCTTTATGTAACAATTGCTCATCATCTTTTCCAGGTCTAGTCTGAATAGGCTGAAGTATCTTTCTTGGGCTCAGTGGACGTCGTATGTTAGCAGCTCTGCTGTCGTACGTCAAAAACCTCATCCCAAACCATGATGGCTTTGGAAACAGCTCCTGTCTTCGTGCTGGATGTTTCACAGAACCTACACAGCTCACGGGGCTTCAGTAAGAAAGAGCACAGGTACTTCCAGCGTGTTGTTAAAGCATAATAGCTAATAACTCTGTCCGTGTGATAATGTACAATTTATTAGGTAGTCCATTGGACGGATCCGTGATCCATTTATGAGCGTTCTTCAAACCTAAGCTTAGTCTGCACACCTCCAAAAAGAACAATGTTACCTGGAGCCCAGGGAATGAAGATTAATGTTTCTGTTATTGTGCTTTCCATCTTCTGCCTTTAAATTGCCTGTTTCCAGCTTGGACACATTTGTATTTTGTTTCCTAAGCTGTATTTTTTTTTAAATCCAAGCACTTGTGTAGCTGATGTAATGTAAGGCTTGAATGTAATGTAAGGCTTGTCCTAACTGAGCAGAGAGCAAGGGAAGGAGAGAACAGAGACCACATAAACCCACACTTCAGCGATCAGGTTAGATTCAGAAATATTTATTTAGAAACAACAGCTTTGGTATTTTAAAACCAAACAACCTTTAAACCACTAGAAAGTGAGATGTCTCCCCCCACAGCCAAAACAAATGAATGCTCAAAGCCTCAGTATGTTCAGAAGAGGAAACCTGCAGATCAGCATTTTTAAGTCCAGAAAACAGTTTCTTTAAACTGATTTTGCACTCTACAATCATAAAGGCTGAAAAGACATTACCTGCAATTAGATATCTACAGTTCAACTGACTGTCTCGTTACTGAACTGGAGGCAAAATTATTAACATCCTCCCCCACCCTCAAGCAATAAATTAAAAAACACCAGAAATGAAGTTATGCTGAAATTTTCTAGTTAATTTAACTCTACAAAGGCAATCATCATTCTTTATTTTCCTGTAAAATTAAAAAACAAATCAAAATATCAAAGGACTTGGTATATCTTCAAGTATTTTTACCAAATGGATTACTTTTAGGGAACTCAACAGCTTATAAGGAAAAAGAAAATGTCTGTTACACAAGATTCTGGGACAAACTCTTCAATAACCACATGTTCCAAGTCTCAGATTCCTTTCTTAACAAGGCACAAAAGGATTGTTGCTTTCAAAAGGTCCTTGTTCTCAGCTGAAAAATCATCAGATGTCTTGTGCAAATGGAGGCTGAAAGCAGGACTAAGTTCACTTGGACACTGGGAAATTCCCATTCAATTCATGAAACGGTGCTATTTCAACACCATCAATCTTGCTTACTGCTACAGAGGTTTTGAGCTCCAGCTAGCTTCCACTGCATCCTTTGTTTTGGAATTGAGTTCTGCACCATCTTCATTTTAAGTAGGTCTAATTAAGACAGACTTGTTTGCTATACACTGCAAAGCTTTTTGCAATATCAAGAAGGAAGAGGTGTGAAGTCAGCCCTGGTGAGTAGCTGTGAAGTTTCTCAGCATCTCAGAAAGTGTCAGGGACAGTTACCTGTTGTAATGGCTAACAAGTAATTTTGTAAAAGGCAGACAGCAAATGTTGTAGATGACAAAGGCAACAAGATAGCAGTTAAAAAAAAAAAAAAAAAAAAAAAGAACACCATTTTATAATGTCAAGGGTACATTTCAGGATGTGTGGCAGGATGCAGCTGTGTAATTCAAATTACTTCCCCACCACTTCTTCCTTTTGCACTAAAGTTTCACCATGGTCATATGCTTCTAATTGCAGCTGGCTTTGATATAAATATCTATTCTACCTCTTCCATGTTAGCTTGTTTAGCCAGAAACACCATCTCTCCCATTCATCAATAGATGGCTGGTATTCAGACCTGCCTGGGATCAGGCCTGATCTGAACACTGCAAAGCCCGTGAGCTTACAGGAAAACGACCAGCTGAGCTGAAACCCATCAGATTGTCGACTGTCCCCTCCCATCCAACTGCAACTATCCAAAATTCTATGTTACGATTTGGAAAAACAGGGCATTCCAAAGCCAGGCCTTCTCCTCTGACAGCTCTATTATGCAGTCCTGATGTTTTGTTCCTGCTTTGTACCAACACACATCCAGAAAGTACCAGTCCTAAGAGCAGAAATCACTTCAGTGTCTATTCTGGACTAAGGTTTCGCTAGTGACCAGGCTTTCTAGGCTACTCAAAACAAGAATTTCAAATCTTTTACACCAAAGTGGGAGATGCTTGAAGTCAGAACCTCCAACTCACGGTAAAAGCACTCAGCACCCTTCTTAAAGCAGCTAGTATGTCATCTGAATGGGAGAAACCCTCAAAATGATGGTGCTAATGTGGCATGATGGAGTATTGCACAGTGTCTATGTATTTGTAAATGTTAACCAGTAGTCCCAACAGGTCAGCACCTTGACCTAAGAGCACTAGCTTCCATCTGTGTGTTCTCATTTGACAAGTCACACATTGAAAGCAGGCAGACAAGCATGCACATCTCACACACAGCAGTAATTGGCAGCTCTTGCTTAAGTATTCCCTTACTGTTTAATAAGGAACATATCTGGTGACACAGCTGCTGTGGGAAAAGGACAGAAAAGCTGCATCTGCCTTAATCTGCAGCCTTAGGAATGTTTAAGGACTGACAATGGATTTCTCTCTGCAATATTTGTGAGCCCTACCACTCCAATCCCTGTTCTAACACTACTGCGTGCAAGATGCCATAGATCACTTGTTGCAAGAGAGACTGAAAATCCTCATAATCTGAGAGACTCCCTAGGCACAGTTGACAAAAACAGGCTGACAGCACTCAGAGGAAGGCAGCCAAAAGCAACAGCCTTACACCTTACTCCTGAAGAGAGGCTTGGCTCCTGGCCCACAATATTCATTGTAGATGAGCTTGAACAGAAACAGATGAAACAGTGTGATTAAGGATGCCACGCTGAACCAGAACAGGAAGGGTAAACCTGGGTACTGCTTAGCCATGTGTTCCTCGTGAGCCAGAATAGCTTTCAGATGGAGTGTGTGTCTCAGGTCCTGCAAGTGGACCAAATCTGTCGATATATAAAGTAGTGGCGTGATGGGCTGAGTCACCATGACTGGGAACGTATGGCCTCGTGCCTCTGAGGTCAGCTCCACGGGCTCATTCATACAGCCTGCTTCACACGCATACAGTCTGACTGGCTTGTCTTGGAATTTCACAGACACGTGCAAGAAGGGCTTTCCTTCCGCATCCAGCAGAACGGCTAAGTTAATCAAATCCTTGTTGTAATGGATCCCACGTAAGGAATAGCTGTTGTGAAGTACATCAGGGTCAGCCTGAAACTGAAGATGGTTTTCTGTGAACTGCAGACCTCCAAAACTGAGCACCATGCCTTGCATAAGCCCGTGGACTCCGGCTGCCACGAGAGCCTTACAACCCCGCTTCTGGAGGGTCAGCTTCCACAGGTCTGAGAGCTGCAAGACCTGGGGCACGCTGGTCAGCTTTGCTGGCCACAGGTTCTCTGCATGCATGGTTGCATGGCCGCTGAAGCAATGGTCAGCATAGTTCAAGCTGGCTTCCATTTTTTCTCTGTCTTCACTGCTAATGAGTGGATCTAGCAGAGGAGCTGGCATGCTTGAAAGCATGTAGTAGAGAGTCATGTTAACAGTCTCACTGGATGGTGTATGTGAATCTGTGATCTTCCTCATTTCAATCCCTGCAATAAATGGCAATAACCAAGAGTCAAAGGATCATACGACATTTACCACAAGAAAAATTTCAAAGGGACATCTATCACTATTAACATCTAAAATACTGTAAAATACAAAGCCCTGCATTATCTGGGCAGCCATTCTTTTATTCAAGGCCATGAAAATCTTTTAAGAGCATCCCTGGAGTAACAACACAACAGTCCTCAACTTTCATGGAGAATTTTACAGAAGTATAAAGATAGTCCTTTATGCTGCAACTGGAGGTCAGCTCCATTCCCATCTTGCAGCTGGCATGCTAGGCAAATCAATGAAGTCCCTACAGACATGAAAGCCAGTGCATCCAGAATTATAGTGGGACACATTTTTTTTTACGCAGTGAGGATGACTCCACTTTTCTAAGTGGAATCACAAAATAGCCTGAGTTGGAAGAGACTCAAAAGGATCATGGAGTCCAACTCCTGGCTCCACCTGGGACCATCCAAAAATCAAACTTTAGATTCCAAACTTAGAATGCTGTTTTATTTTCCCAGTGTCTCTGGAGGCCTTACAGGAACCAGGTCACCATGCATTCAGCTCTTCTCTAAAGCAACTGTTTGGAGGTTGAGGATCACTTTCCTTACCTGAAATGAACAGGTCTGACCAGGTCTGCTGGTGCTCCTGGAAAAGATCTTCCACCCCCATCTGCATCACCTCCAGCATCTCCTTCTTGGCCGACTCCCTCAGCTTGCTGAAAGTCTCCTCCAGCCTGGAGACCTCGATGGGCTCCGAAGTGTACACCACGGACCACACGGTTTCATCAAAGGTAGACTTGGGTGCCACCTGCACCCGGCTCACAAGCTTCTTAGCAGCCACCACCATGAGCACCACCTTGGGACTGCCAGGCAGTAGCAGACGGCCGGAGGAAAGCAGGAACTGCCGCTCCTCCACCTTCTCCAAGCTGGTAGCAAAGCGGGCGCTCAGCGAAGGTGCCGAAGCTGGGGCCGAGGCCTCGAAGGTGGCCACCCGCTCGGTAGGGTTAGTGATGCGGATACGCTGCAGGTAGAGATGCGGCCGGCTCCGATGGGCCACCACCTCCTCCCGCACCGTCACGCACTCCCCGGCACCTCCGGGCCCGGCGCCCGTCTGCACGCAGCGCACTCTCCGCACGGCCCCGTCCCGCAGCGCCGCCTGCGCCGCTCGCGCCTCTCCACGTCCTCCCAGTGCCCTCAGCCGCACCAGCGCCGGGTACTCGGTGGGAAGCGCCGGGCCTCCGCCAGACCCCGCCGCCGACACCCAAAGGCGGCCGGCGGCTACGTCCAGCAGCAGGAAGCCGTTACCCGCCAGCGCCAGGCCCGGCCCGTCGCCGGCCTCGTCCTCCGGCAGCGGCAGCGCATCGCCGCGTTCGGCCTGAGCCCGCCAGGGGCCAGCGGCCGCCTGCAAGCAGAGGGCGGCGGCGCCGCGGGGCTCCGCTCCCCGCCCAGCTCCGTGCCGCGCCCGCCCGGCCCCCAGGTACCAGTAGGCGACGAGCAGGAGGAGCAGCAGCAGCAGCAGCCGCCGCGCCCAGCTGCTGGACAGCAGCCCCGGCAGCCCCTTCAGCCGCTGCTGCAGCCACATGAGCGGCGGCGGCGGGGCGGGAGACCCGTCCCGGCCCGGCCTCGGCGCCCCAGCGGCCGCTTCCCGGCCCTTCACGCCGCCATTGCAGCCGGCCGGAAGTGCCGCGCCGTACGACAGCCCCGCCGCGCTCGGCGGCGCTTTGCGACAGTTGTGGCGTCGCGCCTTCTGCTCAGCCTTTGGCGGGCGGCCCGGCCCCGCCTCACGGAGCGGCCCGCAGGCGGGTTGGCGCGGTGACTCGGCTCCGTTCAGCACAGGCGCTGTGTCTGTAGTTAATCCAGTGATGGAAGCAGCCCGGAGCGGGCCTGAGGCAGTTTTCCGTCATATTAGTGATTCCCGTTAGCACAACGGAGCCCGATGCGGGACAGCGCGTTGTGTCGCAGCCACGTTTTCTGCCCTGTGCGGGATGCGGGACGGTTGGCGCAGTGCTGCGACCTGCAGGGATCATCGAGTCCACGGGTGCGATTTGGGCTGTCGTGGAGCTTTACAGCAGCAAACACGGGGTCTGCGTAATGCCCTGTGCCATCCCTGCTTCCTCCAGCAGCAAGGAGTTTCCTGTCTGCTCCTACAGATGTGTGCACAACGGGCCAGGGGAAACTTTGGACTCCAGCACAGCTCTCAAAGACAGTAGCAAACCCTGCAGAAACCCTGCGA